GAATTGATAGGAATCTAGAACTATAAATCTACTGCTGGCCATGATGATGACAGTTCTCTTGTGTTAGTAAACATCTCTTTTCTCCACTAGAACTGCTTAGCTCGGGTGAATTCAAGCTGAAGGGTGAAAAGCCAACTGGAACTGGGCATTTTGCCAGATAAATCTGAATCCCAGCTCTATAAAGAAAGCAAAAAGGGAACTAGAAAGTCTTTGACAAAAATTGTTGATAAGTGGCTAGAGACTGGGGAGGGAAACAGGAAGCACAGAGAGCTAGAAATCTAACTTTAAGCAAAAGAAAGACACAGGGAAGAATCTATGCAGGACACAATTTTCAAAGTGTCTAAGCCTGAGAAAAAGATTAAAATATAGGTGACTGCAGCCCAATCTTTGCTACCCACACTTGTGGGAAAAAAGTCTACAGAGAACTAAATCACAGAAGGAGCAAAGGGGAAACCTTGGGTTTGAACCTCAGGATTTTTGTAACATCAGGCATCCCTGACTCTACATGTAACTAGTATCCTCCTTCCTGGCCTGTTAACTGTAGACAATAAGACCACCAGTTTCCATATAGCAAAGCATTTATCTACTTTATGGCAATTTGTTTTAGAATTTTAACAAATGTCTACATAAAGCTATATTAAATAGTATACTCTCCTCTAAGAATATTTTAATCAGAAACATTATTGGTTGCCAAGATTCTAATTGCCAGAAACTACTACTAGATAAGACAGAGGTAGAATGGCAATGCTGTCAGCCCTTGTTAAGAAGTTCCTACCTTCTACAATAGTTTTGAAAACAAAAGCAACCAAGTCCCTAAGACCCTATTCCAGTCAACCCCTTGTACTGAAAAAGTTTAATGATGTCACAGTTCTAGATAGCACGGGCAGCAGCAGAATCCCCTTCTCCCTTTCGGTGTGCTGACTGCTAGTCTTCAGTGTCTTCCTCAAAAGCAGTTGGGGTCATCTCTTAAACTAAAGTGACACAAAGTCAAGAGCCAAGGGGTACAACTGAGCACTTAGAATGCATGTCACCCTTGCCCATAAAACACACTGAAGTGACTCCACGTCGTGTTAAGTTATCAAACTGTAGAAAGAACATTTCAGAGATTAAAATGTTGCATAAGAGAGGGGGAGCAGCATGAGTCAGGGATTTGGAAATTATGAGTCAGAATATAGGGAAGGAGCCAAAAGCAGAGAACAAAGGCCTAAGCAGGGGCCTAGAGGACACCAGTGGATGGACATCATCCCTATGTTAGCTTGCAGATAAAGTCAGCTCTGCAGTGCCACTGCCTGGGGCCAGCCTGAGAGAGCTCACCAAAGATTACACTGGATTATTTAAAGCAACTAAGGTTGTCAGCGTCAAGAAGAGGGACACCTACAGTAGTATAAATAACAAGAAAGGATCTGCACACTCCCTTTTAAATGAAGGAATCACTAAATAATGCCTTTAGTTTGTCTCAATGTACCGGAATGATTAAAAATGTTGTGGAATTTTAGGAAGCAGTTTCAATTGTTTTGTTCCATGGCTGCTTCACCAATAGCTGTTTACTATAGTGTTCAATACAAACCCTCGTATCCCTCATTTAAGTTTGAATTTTGATAGTGACTTGAGCAAGCATTTTATGAGCACATTCTGTCAGACCCAGCACCGGTCTCCTCACACACAGCCCCTATAGACATGTTGACTCCAGCTCCCTGCCATTCTCTTTCTGGTGGGACCCGCCTTCCAACAGACAGCTTCCTTCACTACCCGACCAGAGCTTCACAGGGCAGCTCTTCACACAGCAGCGCAGGACCCAGCCCCTCTGCTAAGCTTCCAGGCTTCTCACTCTGGGCAATGGACTCAGAGTCCTCTGAACTCAACTGCTTTACCTCACAAGCAAATTGTTCATTCTGTTGTGCCCCTCGGGCCTTATCTGTTACTCTGCCTTACGAATTTTACTTCCATAATCTAAAGCACTGGTCCTACTTTCTGTAAACCCTGAAAACCAAGCTGATGATTCATTCATCCATTAATTGGGTAAACATTTACTGAAAACCCATCACATTCCATGCACTATAGTAAGCAGGGGAAATGAACTTAACTGTCAAGGACAAATGGTAGATAATTAAAAACAAAAGCAAAAATTCTTTCCCCCAGGGTATTTGTATCTAGATTCTCAGAAAAACATGGCTGACCTGAGTCATTTTCCTGTTAAATAAAGCAGGACTTTGCCCACACAGACGACCTCCCAAACAGATGTAGGAAGTAAGTTTTCCTCACAAACAGCAGAGGTTCCTGCAAAGGCAATGACTGTGCTGCACTGACGTAGTGACGTAGTGACATAGGGACACACCGAGCTTTCTGACAGCACATAAGCAGAAAAGAGGAACGAAAGCGTTTTGAGACGTTTAACGTGACTTTGTGTGGGCACATAAACAAGCAATAATGGGATCTTCAAAAGCAATAGCATTATGGCATTTAAATAGAAACTGTCATTGAGGTTCACAGAAACTCAGTCTGTTGATATTCTTCAGCATTAAGTAAGTTGCTAAATGTCAGGGTTGGGGAGAATGAATACAACAACACTGGTTAGTATGGCTACAAACAGAAAAGCAAATGAAGCTGCCCCCTGGCTGCAGAGGTGATAACCTTTGGCATCTGTAAGTCCAGGTTAAAGGAAAGTTCCTTCACCGGAACTGGATGAAGCAAGTTCTATCACAGTTTTGTTGTTTGGGGTAGAGAAAGGAAAACAATGTAGTTAGTACAGTGGCAGTAGTATTTGGGGCTTTGCTTTTGTTAAATTACTGTAATTCACCAAATATTTTCATTGAATAATTCTATTCAAAAGCTAACTAGAGCAGACTCTTAGAAAGGAGCTTAAAACCTATTTCATGATGCATTGATCCCAGTGGAAATGTTAGTCTATTTGTCAAAGACACTTCCAAACAAATGATGGGAAAATAGGAAGGAAATTGCAGGATACCAGAAACGTGATGGGGTGGAGTTGGTTTGCACAGAGTGGTTGCACAAAGAAAAGCTTTAGTCACTGACGAGGCCTCCCATAGCAGTGCCAAGCCGGCCAAGTCCTTGATCTCCTGCCAGCATGGACAAAGGGAACTTGCCATGGTTGGATCTACCATGACTCTATCTCTCAGGGCTGTTATCACCACAAATGTTGGCAGATGTCCCTGATATAAAACAATAGGAATTCTGCTGTTATTTCTGCATTAGCAAGTCATAAAGCTCCAAAGAGTCCCCAGTATAAAGGCTTTCATCAAGTGCATCTAGAAAATAATGAGGCATGAAAGGGGGCAGATAATTTCACAGGAGGGTCGCTGCGTCAGGGCCTGTCACCTAGAAAGGGCACTCTGTGCTAGATGGAAAATAGCATCATAGTGATAGCATTAATGCATTTCAAAAACACAAAAACCTTATTAATGTTTTAAAATAAGGTTCCAAGAATTATGTGTCAAAGAAAGTGTTACTAGGTTTTAACCAATGAGCAGCCGTATATCACTGGTACATCCTCATGCCCCTCCCCTATTTTTCTGTACAGACTCTCCCTTATTGCTCCCAAAACCGGCTAAGTGCAGGGTTATCTCAGAGTGGTCCTCTTATGAAATGAACAGCTTACTTTACGACATCACTTAAGAGTACATGCAACAATCCAATTTTCCCAGAAAAATCAAAAGCAAAATAACACAAAGGGCCACTCTCTGTTGTAGATGGAAAACAGAAAGCATAGCTAATTCTAATTGTTGGGAATTGATCTCTCTTCACTGATTTTCTGCCCACAACCCTGAATCTACCACAGTGATGATCTAAGGTCCCCTCCCCAGCAAATCTATCTTGGTTCCATGCAAAAATAATGATCATCTAGAAATTGCACATTTTATGACATTTTTATTAACGCTTAGTCTTCAGTTATTAGAGAATACCAAAACTATGTGGCCCCCTTTTAAAATCTAACTTTCTGGTAGATATGTGATTTTTTTAATGACTGTGAAGGATATAGATAAGGCAAAATGAATTCTACCTACAAATAATGGTAAATTCCTACCACACTTTAGTCGGGGACAAACTCTCAAAGCTGCTTTCTTTGGTAAGTTCCCTTCTTTTTTAGAACTCTGACTTGCTTTCTACTGAAGACACATGTAGCATTACCAGAAGTAAAATGTCTTAGAAAGCTATGTATTTTGACTTATACTAACATATCTCTCCTAGAAGAATATGATCAAATTGATGCTTTTCATTTTGAGTTTTATACATGTGTTAGTGTACCATTTGAGAAAATTTGCAAAAAACAGCAACAGTGAATATGTAATATTAAGGCTTAAGAAATTCTCTTAAATACAAAAGAATTGGATAGCAAAATTAGGAGTTGTGCAATCTAATTCTCTCTCTCTCTCTCTCTCTCTCTCTCTCTCTCTCTGTACACATGCACATGCTACTAGTGATCAAACCTAGGGCATTACATATACAGGAAAATGTTCTACCAAAGAGCTATATTCTACTCTCATTACTTACAGTCTTGAGATAAGAGTCTAAGTTGCTAGACTTGAACTTCCTCTGTAGCCCAGGCTAGACTTATATTGGAGATCCTCCTGCCTCAGCCTTCCAAGGAGCTGTTGTTTAATCACATAGGTGTATCTCTGCATAGTTAAAGTATAAAACTATCTCAGGGAAGGATTCATGCCTACTGGAAAGTGATAGGTTATAGAGAAAAGGAAGAAGATGGGGGTAAGGCTTTAGCTATAGCTGAAAGCAGCTAAAGGGTAAGACAGGAATGAGAATTGTTAGAATCTGTTAAATCTCAGGTGTGTACACTGGTAGTTCTGAAATTATTTTGTAGGCATTTGAGATATTTTGCATTTTAAATATCTCCAACATAACATATTATAATGCTTTTTAAGAATAAAGTAAAATTCAGCTTAAGAAAAGTGAAGTGGCGAATGAAGAGAGCCTCCATTACCTTCACAAACAACTGGAATTCTTTCTATATTGCGTGTCTTTCTCAGATATCGATGAGTGTACCTCAGGGACCCACAACTGCAGAGCGGACCAAGTGTGCATCAATTTACGTGGCTCCTTCACATGCCAGTGTCCTCCGGGATATCAGAAGAGAGGCGAGCAGTGTGTGGGTAAGTCCCTGTGCAGTATCGAGACTCCTGTCTTGAGAATCTTTAGGCATCAAAACAATGCCCTCCCACTTGATTGAAGAATGGTAGCTAGCAACTGCTTCCTCTTCTGATGACACCAATATAGTTTCCAGCTACCAAGAGGAACCTTAAGGTTGAGCCTGAATAATTATGTACTATAGACTAAATGAAAGCAAAAATCTAGTCTGAATGGAACCATAAAGACAACTAAGAACTAAATTAATTAGGAGTTAACTAATTAGGGATTGTGTCACTAGCATACTGATGCCAGGGGTTCACTTGTCACTACACAGAAGAACATGGTGCATGAGATAGATGTTGAGGTCAAATGCCCTGTCTACCACGACTGTCATTTAAGCCCATGGTTACTTAGGTTACTGTGTATCACCATAGTCATTTGTTCATGGTTATTTAGGTCACTGTGTATCACCATAGTCATTTGTAAGTCAGGAAAATAAACACTGAAGGCCTGAAGGTACAGTAGTAACATGCCCCACTGCTGGTAGAACCGAGACAAAGGAGCACAGAGAGACAGCCTTTGTGGGAAGGAAAGTGGAAAGATGAACTCATATCTGGCCGTGTGTGTGTAGAAGTTGCCCTTGCCCACAAAGGTAGCTCTACTCCTCAGTAAAACATAAAGGGATTTCCTCATCAGTTTGATTGCATCAACACCCTTCCTCCCAAGATGCATCACAGCTTCTTCTCACTGGTTATGGTTCTGTGCCACACATTTATACACATTCTTCCCAGAACATTGAGACACTCCCCTACAAAACCCCATTCCATTATCAAATCTCAGCCCAGCATCGCCTCCCCAGGCACCATGATTTATCCAAATATAATTAGTCACTCCTTCTCCCTAACAATTAAGATGAGTAGATCTTTTTTGGAAATTTCCAATCTGTTGCAGTCTGATATTTATATAAACTACTAGAAAAGTGTTGTGCTGGTTTCCATTGCCATGCTAAATGTGTACTCTTGAGTTTTGGTACTTGTTATGACTGACCCAGTCCTCCATGAACCAACACAGTCAGCAGGCCACTGAGATGCTTGCTGTATCTGTCCCTTGTACACCTTTTATTATTGACCTTCTCACTCTGTGGAGTAACATGTGTGTGCCTGTATCCTGTGCCAGTCAGATGCAGATTATGTGTTCAGGTATGATTATACAACCAAGTGCAATGCTGTAAAATAAATGTCTACTAGGTGAAGACACAGACACCATTGAGTCATCACATAGTCATTGAGATGTGACTGTGTGCAGGTACAGTTTTAGATTTTACAGGATCATTCCTCTGGAGCTATTAGAAAAAAAATCATACATATTGATTAGTTATCATGGCATAAGGAAGCACTATAAACAATAACTCTCAATTAATTTAAGATTCCTAGCCGGGCGGTGGTGGCGCACGCCTTTAATCCCAGCACTTGGGAGGCAGAGGCAGGCGGATCTTTGTGCGTTCGAGGCCAGGCTGGACCGACAGCCTCCGAAACAATACAGAGAAACCCTGTCTCGTAAAAACCAAAAAAAAAAATTCCTGTTCATCAAATAACATAATTGAGCACCTACTATACTAGCCCTTGCTCTGAGAATTAAGTTTATAACAGAGAGTAGACAAGAGAGTAGATAGCTGTCTCTAGGGAAGACACAGCTCTTATTTGCATCAAATAATAGTCAGCAAGACAGACAATCAAATAAATATTTATCTCAATATTAAGCAACAACAGGGGCTACAAGGAAACAAATCAGGATAAAAACATAGATGGGCACGATAAACTGTCATGCATAGTGAAAGTGGAGCAGATACAAAGGCTGTGTGGGTATCTCTTTCTAGTTATTTCAGTGTGCTGATTAATCAACAACATTTTGTATCTTTCTAATAATACCTCCCACTGTCATTACCCACTTTCATCTGGACACATCACCTACTCTGTACCATGTAAACTTTCCAGCCATTCTACCTTGTGGAATAGGATATGGAAGCTTTGGAGCTAAGACAGGGAATTTCCAGATCAGAGACAGGAACTCGGGTTAGCTTCAGTCCATTTGAACAGGCTATTGTTGAAGCAGTCTTGTTCATTTCTTTTAATTTTTACCATTTGACAATGTCACCCTGTAGTGCTGTATTATATGTACAAAAATGTCCTATTAAACTACACGTGCAATGCTGGAGTTGTCACAAAGTGTAGTCATGAGGTAATGACATTTTATTATGCTTCTGAGAGGGTCCATCTCTGCAAGTTCTCTGTTGAGCGTTTTATAGTTGGAAATATTTATCAAAGAAGGACGTGGGCTGGAGCACTTCATCCAAACGTCAGGACGTTCTCGAAAGGTCACTGGTGTAGTATCCTTTCCTTTCACAATGTTCTTTCATTTGACCCTCCCAAAACTTCCTAAGATACATATGGCAAGCCTTCCTATCACATTCTGAACAAAATGAAGATGTTTAAATGGCTTAGCCACAGGCACCAGCTGAGTGCAGCCCACATCTCTCTTAATTGTAAGCTGTATCTTCATTATTTTTCATTTTCCTCATTTTAATTAAGCCTTTGGCACCCCAAACTGAAATCTTTGGTGTGTGTGTGTGTGTGTGTGTGTGTGTAATGGTCTCAACCTCTTTTCTTACTTTACATTTCAATTCGTTTATTTACTGCTGACATGGGTGTGTGACTGGTCTTTTGTTTTGTTTCTGTTTGTTTGCTCTTGTTTTGGTTTGCTTTCATTGTTTTTGGAGACAGTGTTTCTCTATATAACAGCCCTGACTGTCCTGGAACTCATTGTGTAGATCAGGCTAGCCTCAAACTTACAAAGACCCACCTACCACTGCCTCCTTGTGCTGGCATTAAAGCCATGCACCATTATGCCCAGTTAACAATACGATTCTGTATCTGTTCCGTCTGCTTAGATATAGATGAATGCTCCATGCCTCCATACTGCCACCAAAGATGCGTGAACACACCAGGTTCCTTTTACTGCCAGTGCAGTCCTGGGTTTCAGTTGGCAGCAAACAACTACACCTGCGTGGGTAAGTCCTGTGAGAACTGCTATCCTGACTGACCAACTTCTGCTTCAAGGAAAAGGAAGCCTCATGGTATGGTGCATTGTTTCTGGTGTTCTGTGCTTCCAAGGGAACTGGTTTCCATCAGCTTCCCTCAGGGTCTTAAAGCTGAAAAGACAATAGCTAACCGTTTCTTAAAACACATCAGTATAGGAATGGAAAACATTTTTAACCTTGGTTCTAGTTCTCCTATATGGATATATGTGTGTGTGTGTGTGTGTGTGTGTGTGTGTGTGTGTGTGTGTGTGTGTGTGTGTGTATGTACTACAGATTAATGGATACATGTACCTCAATTAGTCAACAGTGTGTGATAGAGTGCTGAAGGAGCCAAATGGTTACCGGAAGTTCAAATTCATACACATTTCACTAACAATGCATGTGACTTTTACATGCCTCTTCACCCCTTTCAGAGTGCAATGTTATGCATGACACATGATTCTAAGACCAGCACGACCTGGAGGAAATCTAGGGCAGGAGGGGAAATGCCTTTTTCACCATATTGTCTGTGTGTTGGAGCTTAAGAAAGGTCTGCATGGCTCTTAAAACCTTATGCTGAAATTGTCAAGGAATTTAACAGAAACCATTTAAGAAGTAACAAGTAGCCCAGATAAGTCTTTACCACCACATTCTGAGAGACCTTATCAGTTCAAGTGTCTTATAACAATTATTTATGGATTTAGATTTTGAATCTGAACAACATAAGAAAATAGGTGTTGGACTGTATGTTTATTAGAAGCATTAAATTCTTTGGAGGGAGATTTATCAAAAATCAAACTTCCATTAACAGAAAAAATATATTCTGGTATTTCTAAAAGAAGTGTGTGACAGACTTTAGAAGTTGTTCCAACAACTGTGAAATTGAAGAGATGCTCTCCAGTGAACTTCTCCAGGGAAGGACTACTTACGAACAAATAATACAGGCACGAAAGAACAAGGCTGAGCCTAAAAATGTCTGGCTACAGATACACAGAGATAGATGTAGATTTAAAACCTGTCCTTTAAATCCTTTCCTAGATATAAACGAATGTGATGCCAGCAACCAGTGTGCTCAACAATGCTACAATATTCTTGGCTCATTCATCTGCCAATGCAACCAAGGATATGAACTGAGCAGTGACAGGCTCAACTGTGAAGGTAACAAGTTTTCCAGATACAAGGGCCAACCCTATTGGCATTTTCTTGTGTTATTGTTCTGCTGATGAAAACAAAATCTTTCTCCCACAAATCCTGTTCTTGAAATCTTCTCAAGGCAGTTCAGTGAAAACCTTGACTTTGAGTGGTTTACTGGAAGAAGTAAGAAGCATCAAGTAGCTGGAAGACAAGGTACAGCCTAGGAGTGCCTTCATCTCAAAGTATGCTCCAATGGCAGCTTTTGCCAGGAGCATGTGAGAAAGTGAGAATTCCAGACCCTGGCTCCAGTCTCCCAAGATAGAGTCTGCATATTTAGGTTTACACAGAGCTGAGGGTATGGTAAAACCCAAGACACCTGGCCCCTAGCATTATCCATGCACTGTGTGGCTTGAACACATTTTTAAAGAAGTATGGGTTGCAGTTTCTAATAGGTAAAAAGATAACCAGTCAGTGGAAAGGGTGACCTTGAAAGTCCAGTGGAGATGCTTATTCTGGGTTGTAGCAGTCTTGCCTGTAATGGTGGTCACACCCCTTTGGGCGTGGCTTCAGGCAGACAGAATTGGAAAGAGGGATGCATAAGGCATGGTCTTGCTTGAGTGGGGCTTTTTCTCTTGGGTCAGCTGATCCAGTAGGAAGGACAGGGAAACTCTACCATGGTTCTTTGTCTTTTTCTGTGTAAGTGTTCCTCAATAAACACCATTTATCATTTTTCTTGGGTCCAGTGAAATCATTGCACCCTCACCTTCCCTGGGTAATTCTAGAAGCTTAAGGCATCATTAAGGGGATGCCATCAACATATGATGTTCATACCTCCCTCATGATTCTGACCATGTTTATTTGGTACCACATAGGTCAAACCCCATTCAAGGAAGTCTCAACCATGCAATTGTACTTAAAGCCTTAGCACTGCTGTCTCTGCCTTGAATTAGCAAACTATAGCATAGGTGCTAATTCTGAAATGCAAAAGATTCTTCCCCAGAAGACCACATCATGCCAAGATGTCACCCTCTGCAAAACTGCTCAGGTGTGGAAGTTGAAGTTCAAAATTCAAGAGAGTTCAGCAGCAGGCTTACAGCAATACTGAACAGGAAAACACAAATCTGCTACCTGAGTAGGTCTGAAGAACCCAAAGTGAAGAGTGTCCCTCATGAGCCCACTCACTCAGTTTGCTTAGCTTCAGTGAAAACCTCCACAGACTGGGAGGGAGGGAGACAGGAACTGATGTATTCCACAGTTGGCCCCTGCATTTCAGATAGAGCCTTGCATTTCTTCTATTTTAGAATTTTCACTGCTTTGAGACTCTTTAGCTTATCTAAAAATATGTAAAAGAAAACCAGTAGCAGGAAAGTTTCTCAGCTCTGTGTCCTTGCTCTTGTCTGATTCTACAGACATCGATGAATGCAGAACCTCGAGCTACCTGTGTCAATATCAATGTGTCAATGAACCAGGGAAGTTCTCATGCATGTGCCCCCAGGGCTACCAAGTGGTGAGAAGCAGGACCTGCCAGGGTAAGCACACTGTTCTCATAAAGCTGAAGTTCAGAGGTAGCCGCGAAGAACATGGGGGAAGTCACAGAATTCAGACCTTCATTTTCCAAACTTAATTGTACAATTTGTGTTCCTGATTCCTAACATTAATAGAGTACAACGTATGAAAGGAAGATTCAACAGTACCCTGACTTTCTTTAAACTTTAACTTCCTTTCTAAAAATGTGATTTAAATAAATGTTAATATTTCTTAATATATTAATATCTGTGGAATTACACTTTCCAATAAGCTACCAAAAAAGATTCACTTACCAAAGATATTTTACCCTGAGTTTTGAGTTTAAAGCCCATTCTTGCTACCTGGGCTAGACATCCTTAAACAAGCCTCAATTCTGAATTATGTACACTTGGAGGGTGAGAAAGGGTCTTGCTATATAACCCAGATTGGCCTCAAATCTGTAGCCCTGCAGCCTCTGCTTCCTAAGAATATGCCATCACTCCAAGCCAATTCAGGTAGGATTTTAGGTATTGATGAAAACATATCATTAAAATGGTTTTGAATGACTCAACAAAAGCAAGTGTTGATCCAATAATGGCTAGTGATCATGGACCCAGTTTCTCATGGGTAGAAGAGAGAGATTTATGAAAACATATCATTCAGAGTCTGATAGGAAGATGGGAAAATATGCACCCTCTCCCCTAACCTTAGATGTTGTATACAGTTTGAAATTTCATTAATGGGAGAAAGACTGTCAAATAAAGACAAAAATATAGACAATCCCAGAAAATCTAATATAAACACATTTACAAAAAATGGTAGAAAAATATGACTGAACCTAGTGACAGAAAGCCACTTGAATCTAACTAACCCTACTGCATTCCATCTGTACAGTCTGAAAAAGTCATCAGACTTTTCTAAGCCTTAGATTTCTCTTTTGAAAGGAGGAAGTGCAGGAATAAAACAAATAACACATTACATGATCTACACAATTCAGTGTTTTGATGAAATTTGCTTAGCAATGTAAATGAGAAATAGTAAATCTCTAGATAGAGTCCTTTTTAGTTAGAATTTGAGGAAGGACTTTATTTTTTAAGAGAACAAGATCAAGGACATGTGGAGTCTTCATCTAATACCACAACTGTATGGGGCAACTATGAAATCAAAGGACACCTGAGAACTAGGATTCTGCAGTGTGGATACACACTCCAGCTGTAGGTATAAGTGTAATCAGAATGCCATCTCTTGCACAATGACATCTTTATAGCCCTTCCTGGTCTACTAGAAACTCCACAAATGCTAATTGTAGGAAACTATTGCATTCCAATGGTCTCACTTAACACTAATTAAGATATGACTATTACATGCAAGAAAATACTATCCAGTTGAACATTTTAACCAATTCCCCTGGAATTATCTAAACAAATATCTGTATGTTTCTAATCATAAGTGTCAGTAAAGACAGATTCAAATTAATGTGTGATAGGATTTTATTTGCCTGGGCTCTATCTTCAGGAATATTTGTTATAACTGGGCTAAATACATTGAAATCAAGTGAGAGTTCATGTGCTATCATGTTGAAGATGCATAGTGACTAAATGACTTTGGCTAACACAGACTTCCATTCTTTTAACACATGAAGCAGTTGCTTCCCTCTGCTGAAACCCCGGAAGCATTTGTAAGAACTATGTAAAATCTAACATATTTGGATTCTTATCATCTTCCAAGAAATTCAAAGGGTCTCATACAAATGGTCTCAAGGTCATAAAGTCACAAAAATCAGAGCACTGTGCATGCACATGTCTAGAGAGGGTCAAGATAAGATGTATTTACTCATTCATACATAACAAATATTTTAATATAGTTTCCTAAAAATTTTCCCAAATGATATAGCTGCTGATTATGCTAGATCCTACACTACTGGAAATAATAAATGAAGTCATAGCCTCAAGTTTCCCTTTGCTACTGCCACTATTCATTGAACGAACCAATCTTAAGTGTTCTTTATAGCTGAACACCACCTTCATTGCGCAGAAAGGTGGAAATATTTACAGGACATGTCAACAGTGACTTCCAGGGAACCTAGATTATTTTGTCTTTAGTCATAGTCAGGCCAAGAAGACAGTCCTTATAACTTACTCTCTGAAAATGTAGCTTTTCCAGTTTCCTCCTGGATTGTAGAAAACTTCAGCCAGTTGGAAATTAAAAATTGTTTTTCTCCAAAGACATGGCATAGAATTATTCTCACAATAGAACTATCCCTGTTTTTTTATGACATTGAACTTAACCTCTGTTTTTTCTCCATAACCAACCAAGATATCCTTGTCACCTAGCTCTACTTAACTTGTATGAGAGCAACTAAAATAATATTCATCAAAGCTAGGTAATCTGTGCATTAACACTAGCTAATGGAAAGATTCAGGAGTAGCTACAGCTTCTCCTCCACAGGAGTTTACAAGCTAGCAGTACAAACAAATAAACAAAACACAGATTTTGATAAAGTAAAATAGAAAACAACAAGGACCCTAAAGGGACAATATCAGGTACAAAAATTCCAAAGAGCTGACTTGAAGCAGGATTAGGTAAATCACTTAAGGAGAGCTAAAGTAAAGAATGGAAATACTCACTTATAGGGAAGACATGATTCACAAAAGGCGTCTGTGAGACAAAATAGAAACTACAATTCACGTGGGAATTACATAAGAATATGGACATTAACTATTGCTAGTAACAAACAGTAATGCTTGCTAGTAAAACTCTTTCTTCAGTTATCATCTAGGGCTCTAACTAGTCTGTCTAGTTGGTGTAACCACTACCACTCTCGTTCTCAAGACTCTCTCCTCATCTGGCTGCTTTTGTTCACACTGCCTTTTCCTTATGTGCCTGCCACCATTAACAGTCCCTTCTTCCTAAAATATCTTTGCTCTATGAGCTCAGCTCACTTTTTCAATACATCCCTCTCCAAGAGCATCTGTCCTTCTCTTGCAGAATGTTACTGCATCTCTGTCTCTCTCTCTGTCTCTCTGTCTCTCTCTGTCTCTCTGTCTCTGTCTCTGTCTCTGTCTCTGTCTCTCTGTGTCTCTCTCTGTCTGTGTGTGTGTGTGCACGCGCGCGTGCGTGCGTGCGCTTCCCCCTCCATACCCTTTTCCCAGGTTCGTGAAACAGCTGCCCTCCCTTAGATATATTTCCCTCTTTACATGAGAGTTCATCCTTTTTAAAATTAATTTTTATATAAATTAAAAACAATCTTATTTTATACAATCCCAGTTCCCTCTCCCTCCCATTCTCCCGACTATACCCCATCCCACCCCCATTCACTCCTCAGGGAGGGTGAAGCTTCCCATGGGGGATCATCAAAGTCTGTCACATCATTTGGGGCAGGACCTAGGTCCTCCCACTTGTATCTCTTCATAGTGAATGGGCTCCCAAAGCCCATTCCTGTACTGGGGATAAATACTGGTTCTACTGCCAGAGGCCTAACTGACACCAATGTTCAGAGGGCCTGGTTCAGTCCTATGCTGGTTCCCCAGCTGTCAGTCTGGGGTTCATGAACTCCCACTTGTTCAGGTCAGCTGTTTCTGTGGGTTTTCCCAGCATGGTCTTGACCCCTTTGTTCATCACTCCTCCCTCTCTGAAACTGGATTTCAGGAGTTTGGCTCAGTGCTTGGCTGTGGATCTCAGCTCCTGCTTCCGTCACCTAATGGATGAAGGCTCTATGTGGCATTTAAGGTAGTCATCAATCTCATTATAGGGGAAAGGCATTTAAGGAAGCCTCTTCACTATTGCTTAGATTCTCAGTTGGGGTCATCCTTGTGGATCCCTGCACATTTCCCTAGTACCAAGTTTCTCCTTAAGCCCAGAGGCCCACTTGAGATGCACCCCCTTCCGCTGTCATCCCTAACCCTCCGCACACAATCAGCTGTACTTGAAAGTTGTAGTGCTCTTACATACATCTTAGTTGCATTTTCCTCTGTAAGTAACTGTTGTTCTATCTATATTCTCAACTATGTTTTCAACTCATTGGAGCAGGAGATGAAATTTTTTTTGTTTGTATTTTTGTTTACTTTCATATAAGCAAAGTCATAATTAGCATTTGACTTTTAATTCAGCAGATGAACAATGTAAGAGGTAAAATATCAGGAAATATCATATATTAGTTAGTCCATACTGGCTTAGCTATATTTATCCTGATGTCAATGTAGCCCCTTAGGTCAGTTCAGTCTCCTCTCTAAGCAAATTGAACAGGCTGGGTGTGGCAGTGTACACATACATATATAAAGGGACTAAGACAGGAGAAGTTTGAGTTCAAGGCCAGTTTTGGTTGCACTGTGAGGTCTACACCAGCTTGCTCTACATGGCAAGGCCCTGACAAATAAAAATAAATAACAGTAAACAAACCACAGTCTAGAATCCCTCCCGTGTCCTTCCTTACAAACCAGAATCTGCCACACATGCAATTTACTTAGGTCAATAAACTCTTTAACCCTGTGCCTACAGATATAAATGAATGTGAGACCACTAATGAATGCAGAGAAGATGAAATGTGCTGGAATTATCATGGCGGTTTCCGTTGTTACCCACGAAACCCATGCCAAGATCCCTATGTTCTAGCATCAGAAAAGTAAGAAACATCAGAGCCTTTATATTAAAAGTAAGAAGTTTCTGGTCCTGCTGAGCCAAACTGGTGACCACTTCTGTGTTTGTCTCTGCAGCCGATGTGTCTGCCCAGTGTCAAATGCTATGTGCCGAGAAGGGCCCCAGTCCATAGTCTACAAATACATGAGCATCAGATCCGACAGGTCTGTGCCATCAGACATCTTCCAGATACAGGCCACAACTATTTACGCCAACACCATTAATACTTTTCGGATTAAATCTGGAAATGAAAATGGAGAGTTCTATCTACGAGTAAGTACGTTTAGACAGTGTTAACTGGTGGAAAGGTGGCCATTTGTTTTGTGTGCATTCATGTGGGAGTTGGTCTAAAACCTAATGGGTTTCCAACGCAGGCATATATCCTAGGGTATATGTGGCAATACTATCAGATATTAAAATCTAATTTTTACAGAAAAGTGAAAATCTGAAAGATTAAGTAGCCTCCCAAAAGCCACTCCAAACTCAAGCCATAGAATCTAATAAAGCTATGTGTGACTCCCCAAAACACAAGCATGCCCCCAAACAGGTACTACAAATGCATGCTGTCTATTTGTACAGAGAAAAACACTGCGAGTTTTTCTTATGATAAATTTTATGGGTTGTGTTGGTGTTTGCACATTTAATCTGTCCCTTGATATATTAACTTCTTCTTCGCTCCAGGGTAATAGGATTCTATTTCTTTGACAGAAAATTAGGATTGATTAATTTTTCAGAGCCAATTTCATTTTTATCATTTTTTATTTTAAAACAATCTTTTCTCATTTTACATACCAATCCCAGTTCCCACTCCCTCCCCTCCTTCTGCTCCCCCCACCTACCCCCACTCCACCCTTCATCCACTCCTCAAGGAGGATGAGGCTTACCATGGGGAGTCACCAAAGTCTGACACGTCACTTTGAGGCAGGACCAAGGTCCTCCCCCCTGTATCTAGGCTGAGAAAGATATCCCTCCAAAGAGAATGGGCTCCAGAAAGTTAGTTCATATTGTCACTCCTTCTTGTCTTCGACTGTACTCTGGGAGCTTGGCCCAGTGCTTAGCTGTGGGATCTCTGCATCACTTCTATCAGTTGCTGAGTGAAGGTTCTATGATGATAATTCAGGTAGTCATCAATTTGATTACAAAGGAAGGCTAGTTCAGGCACCACTACTCCCGAGGGTCTTAGATGGGGTCATCCTTATGGATTCCTGAGAATTTCCCTATTACCAGGTTTCTTGATAGCCTCATAATGGCTCCCTCTATCAAGATATCTCAGAGCCAATTTCTAAAGACAGAAACTCAACTCAAGATATTGCCCATTGCTTTTGTTTTTCCTAATAGGAAAGAATACATTTCATTAACATATGATTTTTTAAAACTTGAGCTATACTAGATTTTTGTAGAAGTTGCCTCAGCGTGAGTCTTACACAGTTCATATGATTTTTAATAATTAGACAGTAATTGCATGGTAGCATAACAGCTCTTCTCAAAAACTTCAATATAGTGACTCTATTTTGAACTTTTAACCATCATATAAGAAGATAAATCCTTAAACATGGCATTTTGAAAATTATTTTTATTTATATCTGCTTTTATTTTTTACTTGTTTTTTAAAGCATAAATAATATTTTTTCTCCAGAAATCCCTTTCTCGTGAATAATGGGAAACATTACCAATTTGGTATAGTGTTAGATATTTTAAATTATTTGCAGTTAACAAAAACATTTAAAGATACAATATGGCTACACATGCCTAAAATCTCAGCTTTCAGGAAAGCAAGTGAGAAAGATTGCCAAGTCAAGACCAGTCTGGGTTCTCCTGTAAGTAAGTCAGAGGCCAGCCTGGGCTTTCTCTCCAGTAAGTCTAAGGTCAGCCTGGGCTTTCTCTCCAGTAAGTCTGAGGCCAGCCTGGGCTTTCTCTCCAGTGAGTCTGAAGCCATCCTGAGCTCTCCAGTAAGTAAGTCTAAGGCCAGCCTGGGCTCTCCAATAGGTAAGTCTGAGGCAAGCCTGGGCTTTCTCTCCAGTAAGTCTGAGGCCAGCCTGGGCTCTCCAGTAAGTCTGAGACCAGTCTGAAGTTCTAAGAAAGAATTCATCTCAGAATGAAAATAAGAAAAAAATCAAAATAATAGGAATTAATTGATAGGCGTTGTCCTTCTTTATATATGTTTCTCTTCTTGGTTAATGAATAAAACACCGTTTGGCCAATGAGGTAGAAAGATAAGCGGAACTAGGAGAGAAGTAGAATTCTGGGAAACATAGACAGAAGCAGTTGCCATGTAGGCTGCCAAAGGAGTAACAGGTATAGACCCTTCTCGGGCAAGATATGACCATGTGGAAATACTTATATTGATAGAAATGGGTTAATAATTAATACAGAGCTAACCAATAAGAAGCCATAGCTACCAGCCAATAGTTTTATAATTAATATAGCATCCATGTGTTTATTTGGGCCTGGAAGCATCAGTGGGACTTGGTGGGACAAGAAAAATTGCCCATAACAATAAATGATCTAAGAATCTTCATCACATAATTAAAATCAACTCCAACAAAAGTTCTACACTGAAACTCCACCTGTAGACAACGTTTGAAGTAGAAGGATCAGCCTACAGGTTTTAGTTGAGTACCAACTGTGTTCACAGGCTGTGCTGGCTTCTTTGAGAAATTAAGAAGACACTCAGTGCATGGTTCCTTCTTTCAAAGAGCTTTTGATTGAGTTAATTTTACCCTAGGCCAATTTAGTGTTTAATTCTCTGGCATAAACAGAGGCCATGCTATGGATAAGGTCCCTCAGCGTGTGGAAGGAATGCTCAAATTGCCCAAGAGGACCTAAAGTAAAGAAGGGCTACATCATGACGACCCCACCCATGTAACCAGACCTAAGTCCTACTGATCATCTCATTTTCCATGACCTTCATGGCACCCTGCCACCAGCTCCCCAACCCCCATTGCCATTCAGAACAGTATCACATGAGAATCTTGGTCTTCAGTGACACATTCAATAACTGACCCTCCTTTTATCTTCATGCTCTCATTCTCACTCTGTAAGGTACCTCACTCCTCCAGCCAATGACCCCACATAGATGTCATACCAAGCTTTTAAGTGCCAGTTGGTAATACTACAAAAGTTTAATCTCCACTTTGAAATAGGTCCTTAGTGTGATCAACAATCCTATTCTTTTCTTGTATCTTTTATATTCTCTTTGGCCTTGTTCTCAAATGTTCCCATGTTTGGTAAATCTTTATATCCTGCCTTTTAGTGGTGAGTCACTTGTTGCTTTGAAACCCCTGACACCAGCATTAACACTAACGGGCACAAGTTTCCCATTCTACTGTCTGGTTTTCAAAAGTATTTTGTATTTGTCAGTCAAGAACAACTGGGCCCTACGTACTCCTCATTTCATCTCCCCTGGAGCCCTATTCCATCAGACTCCCCTCTACTTCCATACTTTGAACATATCTAGATGTTACACTGTCTCTCTTCTTCAGCACTCTTCTGTGCTTTCAGTCAAATACTTCACTGACATTGCTGTGGTGGGAAAGCCACCAGTGACATCTGTAATGTTACATCCAAAGACATTTTTCAATTCCAGTATTTGATTCACCTTTGCTCCGCTGCGTGCTGCTGTTCACTTACATGTTCTCTGCTTAAGCACTTATTTCTTATCATCTCCGTTCTTCTACTTTTTAAATTCTTCATGTGCATGTGTGCATTTTTATAAGTGTATGAACATATATGTGCCTAGGTGCCTGCAGAGGCCAGCTGAGGATGTCAGGTCCCTTGGAGTTGGCGTTATAGCAGTTGTGAGCCACCTGGTGTGGGCTCTTGGATCTGAGCTCAATTCCTCGTTAGAGCAGCAAGCAGTTGTAACCAGAAGCCATCTCTCTAGCCCTAGTCTCAGTCTTTGACTTCTCTCCTCTGTCCATTCCTTCAATGTCATCCTCTTTTAGAACTCTGTAATCTGTCCTAGTTTAATGAGCATCCCTTGTAGTGGAAGCTAAATCCTAATTCATGCTTCTAACCTTTGTATCCAGATTCACTCCTTTATTTGCTGGCTCCTCCAATGAGTTTCCTTTCACCCTCCAATGCCCATTCCATGTTCAGTTCTGAACATGTGACTTTACAGAACTTCTCTTGCTCCATGATAAGTCTAAGGCAATAGTTCTCAACCTTCCTAATGATTTGACACTTCAATATAATTCCTCATGTTGTGGTGAGCCCATCCATAAAATTATTTTTGTTGTTACTTCATAACTGTAATTTTGCTACTGTTATGAATTGTAATATAAATACCTACTTCTTCCAGTGATCTTGGGTGACTCCTGTGAAAGTGTCATTCAACACCAATAGGTCATGAACCACAGGTTGAGAACCCCTGCTCTAAGGCATTTGAAAGCTTTACCTCAGTGTTTCAGGAATGTATATATATATATATATATATCTTTGCACTCATACTATATATATCCAGACAGCCTAATATTTGTTGACTACGTAACTGTTCATTTGTTTGATTGTTTGAGACAAGGTTTCTGTGTAGCTCTGGATGCACTGGAACTCATTTATGTAGACAAGGCTGTTCTTGAACTCTGTCTCTGCCTCTGTCTCTGGGACTCAAGGCATATGCCAGCATGCCTGGATGTTTATCTAACTCTTTATTCACTAGAATGTAAACAAATTGTCATAGGATTTCTATTGCTGTGAGGAGACATCAGGACCACAGCAACTCTTTTTTTTTCTATTTTAGAAACAATCCTTCCTTCATATTTTACATATCAATCTCCCCATTCCCTTGCTCTCCCATCCTCCCATGCCCTCCCACCGACCCCCAACCTCCCCCACTCCCCAAGGATAGTGAGACCTTCCACAGGGGATCATCAAAGTATGTCACATCATTTGGGGGAGGCCCTAGGCTCTCTTTCATGTATCCGGGCTGCAATAGTATCCCACTGTAGGGAATGGACTCCCAAAGTCCATTTGTGCTCTAGGGATGAAAACTGGCTCCACTCTTAGAGGTCCCATAGACTGCCCTGGCCTCCTAGGGACATCCATATTCAGATGGCTTGGCTCAGTCCAGTGACAAACTTCCTCCAACAAGGCCACACCTACCCCACAAAGCCACATCTCCTAATAGTGCCACTCTCTATGGGCTTATGGGGGCCAATTACATACAAACCACCACACAAATGTACAATGTTAAGAAAATGACAACCTTCTTTACCAATTCCAAGATTATCAGATTCTTATATGAACTCTTTGGAAAGGCATGAACCAAAGAAAAAAAATGTGAAATGTTAACATACGTTAACAAGAAATGTGGGAAAATTAGAAGAATTTTAAGAGCAAACCCTTACCGTGGAGCCAGTGCATATGGGGGATTAATGGAAGAGTGAAATTTGGAAGCAGGGACTAAGCAATGCTTCTGCATCCTATTACTTATGCTAGCCCAAGAAAAATCATTCTCTCCACCCCTCTTTTCTTGTTATTTTAGCAAACAAGCCCTGTGAGCGCAATGCTTGTGCTTGTGAAGTCACTATCAGGACCAAGAGAATACATCGTGGACCTGGAGATGCTGACAGTCAGCAGCATAGGGACCTTCCGCACGAGCTCCGTGTTACGATTGACAATAATAGTGGGGCCATTTTCATTTTAGCCTTTTGTAAGAGTCCACCACAGGCATTTAAATAAGCCAAAGAATATTGTGATGTTAAAGCACTATTTTATTTATAGATATATCTAGTACATCTATATCCAGACAGTTACACTATGGGAGTAAGTGGGCATTTAATCTGTAAGATTCAAAGTTTATCTTTATCACTGAGTGTAAATTAGATATTAATCCACCAAACATTCTTCTTGAAGGGAGTTAAGCATATATTATCTGGTAAAAGTTGGATTCTTTCCTATAAAAATGGGACCAAGCAATGATACTATTCTGTAGTGTACAGAGAAATAATACAATCCCACAGGCCATTTCATGAGTATTGGCCATATTAAGATCAAGAACAAGGAGGAGGGGTTTTTAACTGCTTTGTAAGAAAAAGGAAAAAAGTGAATAAAGACATATTTCTTCAGAAAGTGAGAATCTACCATGTTTGTGTTGGTCTGCATTTTAATGATCAGTTGAAGATACTGTTTATTGTTTGGCAGTAAATTATTACTGTGCAATAGAGTAGTTTCTATAGGACTCTTAAACTTTATCATATATGTTACCCACAATTCCAAGTGAATCACATGTCTCCTCAAAAATTATCACATTGAGAAGTCTATGAGAAATAGTAAAGAAAATAATATTTTGGAAAACAATTTGAGAATTCTCCAAAGAAGCAAGTACATGTAGTAGAATCCCTGAAGCAAGGAATGCACCCAAGGTTCAGAGAGAAATGGAGAAACATTCCTGTTTCTCAGCTTAATTTCCAGCAAGTCTCTAACTTGCCAAGAAGACTCTAATCCTCCCATTTGTGCTCACAGAGGAAGAAAGGGTGGCTCTTTACCCTTACAATTCACATTAGCCTCCTACCCAATTCTGTGAAAAAGTCTTGTTGGTGCAGAACAGCTGCTTCTCTTTGAAGTGTCATATTTTTAACAAAAAATAAATACTCTTCTAGACGATCACCCAGTTTTCACAGGTTTTTTTAATGTGGCCAATAACAGCTGATATAACTTTTATATATTGAGAAAAATCCCTTATAGCTGCCAGAGCAAGAACAGCCTCTATATTTTATATATTTAAATATTAAAGTAGGAGATGAAGACACACAGACTATTAAAATCATGCCACAAAAGGTTTGTTCAGCTGATTTTTTTCTTACATGTGATTTCAAAGCACAAACGAACAACCCTGTCACAAGTGACTTCACTGTTGAAAATGCCTCTCAGAGTTGACTAAATATGCAAGAATTGTCAAAAAGAGAATTCACTAAGGAACAAAATACCAGGAGTTGGGGTGGGTTTCGTGAACTTCAGGGCACAGAAATGCAGAGAGCAAAAGATTCTGCTGAACAGCTATAGGACTGCTGGACTGTGAACACAGCCCTCTAACCTGCTGCACGAGAGTCTACAGTCCACAAAAATTAGAGATTTGGATAAGCGTTTCCATTTTAGCCAATCTAGATTTCCCTTCCCATGGACAAAGCCCTGAAATCAGAGCTGCTACAGGACCACCAGTAAATGAGGGCCTTCCACTTCATGTTGGTCTTTAGTGATCAGCTTAGTGCAGATGTTGGCTGTAGAGCATTACATCTCTACTGTACAGAGCACTTGTGTCTACGGGACTCTAAAATTTTGTCAGAGATTTCATCTGAAACCTAAGACATTTTCCAAGATTTTCCATCTTGAAAGGACAGGCTTGTCTCTAGCTCCCCAAGGCACTGCTGAAGTAACAGGGATCTATAGAATATTCATGCATAAATACTGGCCCTCTAGCCTCACTTCAAACATTGCATATATTATCTGGGTCAACAGGAACCATTAGCTGCCAAAAAGATGATTTCCCTTTTAGTCTAAAGTCTGGTCTAACCCACAAATCACAGACACATGAAAAGATTGTCCCACTGAGGCAATTCCTTTCTTTAAATTGTAAGTGCACACGACATCTGATGCACTGTCAGTGTGTGTACACTTCACTGTATGCAACACACTCACCAAGCCCTGCAACTGTCACCACTGTCGAGATCCACAACATTCTATTCACTAAAAAATACAGTGAAAATAAGCCCATTATAGTCATTGCCAGCACCACTTGCCACAAGCTCTTATAAGAGCTACTTATGTCTGGATTTGTAATTCTGACATTTCCTATAAATAGAAACATATATGTGACCCATGTGTCTGGCTTCCTTCACTCAGCATGTTTCAGAATTTACTGACAAGCATTTATCTGTAATTCTCACAACATAATTTATATCTGTAATTCATTTCTTTTGTGACTGTTGCATAGATATACATTTTGCTCGTCAATTCTTCAGTGATTAGACATCACTTGATATATTATTTCTGCCTATAATTCTCCTTATCATACATTTTAACAAAAAACTGATTATTTACCCATCCATTTCAGAGACAAAATTAACCTATTTTCAGCTAAATTTTGCCTGGGAAAGAATAGCAAGTAAATACTTTTAATTCACAGGAACAAAGGCTTGCAAAGAACTTGAGGAAGCTAACACATGAGTCCCTTTGCAGGCACAGAAATCCTCAGTACACATAAAAATCATGTGCTCTTTTTGACTGTAGTTTGAAATTCAAAGTCAGTGATGACCCAAATTAACCGAGGCAGTAAAACAAAGCCCTGCTTTGTTCTCTAGCTGTATGATCCCATCCTTCTGTCCTTGAAAATCACTGATCTGAAGCAGTTCCCATGGCTAGGAACTACAGCAGTGATTCACTGTCAAAGTTATAATTAGACATTTTCTACTGGCACACATTCATTGAGGATTTCTGCAGTAACACCATGCAACACTGGTCAGTAGGCTGTGGAAGAACCGGGACTCTAAAAGAGACTGGAGCAATTCCCATAGCTTCTTGGTGCCTCGGTTACTTTATCCATAAAATGAGAAGGTTGAAACGAGAATCTTCCAGTTTTAAACCCTTTTCAATCCCCACCCCATGGATGTATCAAGAGCTCCCTCAAAAGTGCCTGGGTGCTCTGTGTATGTAGCCATTGTTAGGAAGTACTGCACACCTGTGGGGGAAAAATGGTGATTGTCCAAAAATAGACCCTTAGTGTGGGCTCATCTTCTGAGGACATGAAAATAATCTAGTTCAGATACAAACATTTAAAATTCACAACATAAAATTCATTTGTGCATATTAACTCTTCAATAATGTATTTTTAAAGAATTTCAGGGACAGTGTACAAGGAAGTTGGAGGATAACACAAGGCAGACTGCCTTACCTTCCACCTTGTGGGTTCTTGGGATCGAACTCAGATCACTGGGTTTGTAGCAATCATCTACCCACTGAGCTGTCTCACCATTTCTCTCCACTGCTACTAACTGAAATAGGATTACTCAGTGAAAGTCATGCTTTAGGCACAGAGAAGGAGCCAATCACACGTTCCCATGATGCAATGTACTTCCAGAGCAATGTCTGTGTTTTTCCTCAGTGAGCCTCAGGAATGAGGACTGATCCAGGCCCGTTTGAAAACTCATGGCCTGACTCAGGCCTTCAAGATTTCTGAATGCATGGATTGTCTGACAGTAGTCAGTTGCCAAATCCCCACCCTAAGCAGCTTGACAACTTGCAATTTCCATCTCCCCCCCAAAAAAACTCCCCTGTCACACAGCATCCTTTATACATAATTGAAGGATTTATAACTGATCTTTTTATTTTAAAACAATCTTTTCTTATTTTACATACCAATCCCAGTTCCCACTCTCTCTCCTCCTCCTGCTCTCCCCACCTTCCCCCCACCCCACCCCATCCACTCCTCAGAGAGGGTAAGGCTCCCATGGGGACTCAACGAAGTCTGACACATCTCTTTGAGGCAGGATCAAGCATCCCCCTCCCCACATCTAGCCTGAGCAAGGTATCCCTCCAAAGAAAGTGGGCTCCAAAAAGCCAGTTCAAGCACTAGGGATAAATCCTGGTCCCACTGCAAGCAGCCCCACAGACTGCCCAAGCCACACAAATGTATCCCACATTAAGAGGGCCCAGTTTGGTCTCATGCAGGTTCCCCAGCTGTCAGTCCAGAGTCAGTGAAATCCCACTAGTTCAGGTCAGCTGTTTCAATGGGTATCCCCCAAAATGGTCTTGACCCCCTTGCTCATATTATCACTTCTCCCTGTCTTCCACTGGGCTCCAGGAGCTCAGCCCAGTACGTAGCTGAGGATCTCTGCATTTGCCTCTGTCAGGTGCTGGATGAAGGTTCTATGATGATAATTAAGGTAGTCACCAATCTGATGACAGGTGAAGACCCATTCAGGTACCCTCTCCACTAATGCTCAGGGTCTTAGTTGGGGCCATCTTTGTGGATTCCTAGGAATTTCTTTAGTGCCAGGTTTCTCACTAGTCCCATTCTAATCAAGATATTTATTTCCTTGTTCCCTTGCTCTGTCCTTCTCCCACATCTTGGCCATTCATTTGTTCACCAACCCCACATCTGACATAAAACTGATCTCCAAAATGTGTATGTAACTCAAGAAAATAGACATCAAAACACCAAATAATCCAATTTTTAAAATGGGGGTATAGATCTAAATAGAGAATTCTCAGCAAAGGCATCAAGACCAGGCTTGAGAAACCCACAGAAACAGCTGACCTAAACAAGGAGAAGCTCCTGGACCCAGACAGAGAGCTGGGAAACCAGCTTAGGACTGTTCCAAACCCCCTGAAGGAGGATGTCAGTTTGGAGGTCTGGTTAATCTATGGGGCCTCTGGTATGGATCACTATTTATTTCTAGTATGCGAATGGACTTTGGGAGCCCACTCTGTTGTTCTTTTGCATAAGTTAAATAGGGCATGCTATAGAACATGAACCATAGAGTGTACATTAACCACGGAGTTTATTACAGAGAGTGGGAGTGCAAGAGGGGGAGAAAAGAGATGAAGGGGGAGACAGAGAGCGGAGAGCAAGAGAGAGAGACTAAGGTGATAAGAGAAGAAGAGGGTGAGAGAGCTTAAGGAAGGGGGAGACAGAGAGCGGAGAGCAAGAGAGAGAGACGAAGGTGGTAAGAGAAGAAGAGGGTGAGAAAGCGTAAGTGGGTGTGGGTCTGTCTTTTAAAGGGGTCCTTTACACCTGTGTGCACTAGTACTCATGGAGCCCTGGGCTGACCAGTGTACTGCCTGAGTGCATTCTGCCAGGTGACAGGGGCAGGCCAGTATAATGCCTGAACCTTTCATTCTCACCTTTATTAATTATTAAAAAGGTGAGGAGTCAAACATGGCAGATTAGGGAATAAGGACATCGAGTTCTCAAGACTACTTCCTGCTGACATGGGGGGTGTTGACCATCTTTGGGGTTCCTGAGAAAGCTGGGGTACTGCTATGTCCTGGGGTAGCTGGTTGCTCCATTGCAGTCCAGGCTGTAGGGAACTCTCTGGTGCCTCTTAGACCTGGCAAGATGTTGGCAGAGCAGA